GTAATCCGCACTCCACCGTTAGTCTTAGCCACAGCGACTAGAGGGTGGCACCAAGGGAACGGATCGTCACCAACGGGTACGATAACACCCTGGGCCACCATGGAATCCAGTTCCTTCTTGACTGAATCCCTGAAGGCGAGAGGGATCAACCGGGGAGTGTGTATGGCAAACGGCTGTGCATCTTCCCGCAGGTGTATCCTCATAGGCGGACCCGCCATAGCCTTCAGTGGCGCGGTCCGTAGGGCCTCCTACGGCACCAGCACATCCGAGTACTCCTTCAGGAATTAGGCCCTTGCGGCTGAAGGAGACGTCTCGCTGTGAAGAGGAAGCAGCCGTGACTTGGGTGGAGGCGGGGCGGGAGTGGACGCGGGTTCTGGGCAGTTCTGTGCGGCAGCGCCAGGCGCGTCGCTCGTTGATTCCCGCACCCTGCTGGCGGTGTACCAAGCAGCTGGGATCTGCTCAGGAAAGTCTCTGGGCACCACGCCTAACTCCTTGCAGTGCTCCCACAACAACAAGGGGGTAGCAAGAGTAGGCTGCACGTCGATCCATCCGTGACACGACCTGTCGCCGTAAGTGATCTCAGCTTGAAAGGAGCCCACAGCATCCGGCATCTGGGAACCGTCCGCATTGTAGTACTGCAGCTGCGGCGGTGGTCCCAGGCCGCGTTTGGTGAGGCCCAGTTTCTGGAGGTGCTTCAGGCCTATCACCGTAGTATCAGCGCCGGTGTCCGGTATCACCTCGATGTGACCCGACACATCACCGTGTGTGACGGCGACGCGGATGGTAGGGGAAGGGGTAGCCCTGGGGCGTGTGGTCGATTCCACCCTCCTGATGTGACTCCGCTGCTGCTTGGGACTGCGTGGGCCATCTGGAGGGGGCTGCGTGCGATCCACCCCGAGGGAAGTGTGCTGCTTTCCTCCTCGTCTCGGGCTTTTGGGCTTGGGTTGGCGGCAGCACTTATCGTAGTGTCCATAGCGACCGCAGGCCTGACACTTGAGGCCTCGTGCAGGGCACCTGTCTGTGTTAGACCAGTGGCCCTTACGGTCACATCCATGACACAGTGCGTCGGCGGCCGGGCATGTCTTGGGGCCATGCTGCTTTCCACAGCTGCCACAGGAAGCACTAGGCGGAGGCGTGGAAGAACGTGCGGCAGCCTTCACGTTGTTGGTCGCCTTCTTACCCTTCTTGTACTGAGAGATTGCTCTCACAGCAGGTGGGGACCGTAAGGCAGAGGTAGCGGACTTGGTGGCTTCGTATGACCGACATTCAGTCACTACCACCTGGAGTGTGGAGGAAGCGTCCAGGGGGATGAGTCGCTGCACCAACTCTTCTTGCCTGACACCTGTCAAGATCCCGTGCTTGATCCAGGCTTCCTCACATTCCCGGCTGTGCGCCTTGCAGACGTCGATCTCCTCTGACAAACTCTTCAAACGTACAAAAAAGTCGTCAAAGGATTCATTCTCCGCCTGCTTGCAGCTAGTGAAGGCGCGGCGATGCAAAGCCTCGTTATTCCGACCCTTAACGTGCTCCTGCAAAAGGTCGAGCACATCCGTCACTGAAGAGGTAGAATCGGGAGGCACTTGCAACGTGTGCTCCAAAACTCTCTGGGTCTCCAGCGACAAACACATCCGCAGTTGGATGAGCTGTTTGTTTGGAGGCATGCTGTCAAGGTGGAGTAATCTGTCCAACGCCGCCTCCACTCACAAAAAAGCTGAAACGTGACGTCTGGTGAGAGGGCGGGTGGGAGTTGAACAAATACCTTGGGAGCTGTTGAAGTAGCAAGAGTACCTGGAGGACGCTGGTGTGGTGGAGGAGGGAGGGTACTGGCGCCTTGGTGCGCGAGTGAGGGAGGGTGGGTTAGCGCCAGGGTCGCCAATATTGCATCAAAGCGCGTCTTTTCCTCCTGTCTTCGTGTCTCCTCCCTCTGAAGTTCCATCTCTCTGCGTCGCTCGTCTCTGTCGTCCACCCACCTCAGAATTGTTGCAATGTCCGTCGCTGTAGGTGAAGGATGAGGGGCGGTGGGTGCAGAAGGTCCATCTGTGCCCGGTAGCGGAGAAGGTGGTGGGGAGTCGTGTCTCCCATCTTGACGTTGTCCCTTCTTACCGCCCATCTTACTATGCTTGAACTGCGCTATTTAGTATATAAAGTGGCGCCTCATAAGCTCGAACCACATATATGACATAAACAGCGCAGAAATAACGCATAGAGTCCACTGTTCTGTCCGTGAGTGCGTGCGTACGTGCGTGTGTGTGTGTGTGTGTGTGTGTCTCAGAGAGCCGAGCCTGGTGGTGGCCCGCTGAGGCAAGAATGTCAGTGTTTCCCCGGATGTCACACAAGAAGGGTGTACGCCTGCGTGCTCCGTGGGTACCACAAAAAAGAGGCCAATGCTCAACTCTCAGCTCTAGACACACTGATACACTGACACTAACACTGCCACTGTCACTAAAACGCACTGTGACGGAGCAACGCTGCACGTCGCAGCGAAACAGAACGCAAGACAACACAGCACACACTAAGAGTCACGTGCACATCGCCGGCAGTCGCACATCGCCTGCTAACTGTCCATTGTTCACACACTTGTAAGTCCACAGATCCTACTCACTGCGCCATGAAGGTTCCAAGTGTTCCCTGAAGAAAGCAGTGATGGGTAGGGAAACACCGGGTAAAACTGAAGTCCATTTATTAAGGGATAGGAGAAATACAAGTGGTGACTTGCGTGTGCCATGCACGGCCCACAGAGTCAGACTGAGACTGCCTTGCCATATGGCAGCCTCGGGGCAATGTTGCCACATAACACGTGCAGTGTTGCCACGTAATTATATACATAGATGCTACTCGGCACAGTAGCTTGTATACAAAGTTACTACTCGGCACAGTAGCTTAGATACATAACCTACAAGGAGTGCCAAGGATCCTGATGTTGAGTGTCAGGAGTGCCAAGGATCCTGGTGTTGAGTGTCAGGAGTGCCAATGATCCTGGTGTTGAGTGTCAGGAGTGCCAATGATCCTGGTGAGTGGCGGCCCTCATCAACAACTCTGGTACTCCATTTCTGTAATAAAATAAGTCTTCTGTCTCAGTAGTGAATGCTGGCAGTGCTGCTGACAGTGGTGCTGACAATGCTGTCGACAGTGGTGCTAACAGTTCTGCTGAGTGCTTATTGATAATGTTGCTGACAGTGCCACTGACAGTACTATTAACAGTGTTGCTGACAATACCTCTGACACTGCCGATGAGTGCTGCTGGCAGTGCTTCTGACATTGACGCTGATAGTGGCGCAGACAGTGTCACATTTACACCACGAGGGCCAGCATAGACGTCACTCTCTGGGAGGTGGAGAAGGGTGCCAGACCCTGTGGTGCCTGTCAGTCTACTCTTAGTGGTCAGTGACCACATCATTACAGAGGTCAGTAACCACATCATTACAGAGGTCAGTAACCACATCATTACAATGGCCAGTGACCACATCATTGCAATGGTCAGTGACCAAAACATTTCACGGGTCAATGACCACACCATTGCAGTGGTCAGTGACCAAAACATTTCACTGGTCAGTGACCACACCATTACAGTGGTCAGTAACCAAAACATTTCACTGGTCAGTGACCACACCATTACAGTGGTCAGTGACCAAAACATTTCACGGGTGTGTGACCACATCATTGCAGTGGTCAGTGACCAAAACATTTCACTGGTCAGTGACCACATCATTGCAGTGGTCAGTGACCAAAACATTTCACTGGTCAGTGACCACACCATTACAGTAGTCAGTGACCAAAACATTTCACGGGTCAGTGACCACACCATTACAGTAGTCAGTGACCACATCATTACAGTGGACAGTGACCACATCATTGCAGTGGTGACTCTGGTGAGTGACCAAAACATTTCACTGATCAGTGACCACATCATTACATTGGTCAGTGACCACATCATTGCAGTGGTCAGTGACCAAAACATTTTACTGGTCAGTGACCACATCATTACAATGGTCAGTGACCACACCATTACAGTGGTCAGTGACCAAAACATTTCAAGGGTCAGTGACCACATCATTACAGTGGTCAGTGACCACATCGTTACAGTGGTCAGTGACCAAAACATTTCATGGGTCAGTGACCACACCATTACAGTGGTCAGTGACCACATCGTTACAGTGGTCAGTGACCAAAACATTTCATGGGTCAGTGACCACATCATTACAGTGGTCAGTGACCACATAGTTTTTTGGCTCTCTAGGGGTGGCACACTTGTGACGAGGCATCAGTGTGGTGGTCATAGTGTGGTGGTCACAGTTTGGTGGTCACAGTGTGGTAGCAACATCTGACCAAACATAAGACCTGAGGCACTCAATATTATGTTTAATGCCAAGATCGTGTGGCACTTTAGTAATGACAAGTGAACGCTGGCCCTTCGAGCCCGGTTCGCCGTCCGGCTGACAGCGTACAGCGAATGAGGGTGCTCCAAGTCCGTAGACTTGCATCGTTTTCCAGCATAATGAGGGTGCGCCAAGTCCGTAGACTTGCATCGTTTTCCAGCATAAATAAAATGGTTAATTAATGTGTTGCTAAAGAATCCATCGACATGTGACCAGGTTTGTTGCACTACGAATTTTTTGCGATTTTTTCACCAAGTTTGATGAAAAACGATTGTGCCGTTTCAGCTGCCCAGAATAGACAGACCCACAGACAGACAGCTATTCCTATAGTATATTAGATTATTGTCACAACGCCAGGAAATGTGTAGAAATTAATATATTGTGCTCTCTCTCTCTCTCTCTCTCTCTCTCTCTCTCTCTCTCTCTCTCTCTCTCTCTCTCTCTCTTTTACGGTAGCAGTAATGGGAGGTACGGGTCATGGTAGCGGTAACGGGAGATACAGTCATAGTAGCAGTGACGGGAGATACAGTCATGGTAACAGTGACGGGAGGTACGGGTCATGATAGCAGTAACGGGAGATATGGTCATGATAGCACTGGTCACTAACGTTACTCTCTCTTACAGGTGTGTTCATGGCGGGGCAGCAGTGACCGTGGTCCCAGGATGGTGGGCAGTGTGGTGGCCGCCGCCATCCTGGCCCTCGTGGGGCTGGCCTGTGCCCATCCTGACAGTGACACCCTGGATGCTGTCGACGTGGGCATCAGCAAACGAGACCTTGAGTTTAACCAGTACGTGCCGGGGTACAGGCTACGGGGGGAGCCCAGCTGTGAGGAGCTAAGGGAAATGTGGAGACTGAGCAAGAGGGAAGCCCGACGAGCCACGTCCACCAACCAGCTCCCCAGGACACGATCCTACAACTACGGCAGATTTAGGACTTTTGCTCCTGACCCTATCGCTCGCCCCTCCGCGCCCATCTATGGCAGCGCGAGGCACTATCAGATGGGGTCGCCACACAAGGGTTCCTTTGAGGTACTGCGGGCCATGCTGGGGCCCGGAGACCGCCGGGGCAAGTATGATACTGTGCATCGGAAACTGAAAGCAGCGCGGGGGCCAGGCCGCTCCTCCTCCGGCAAATACGACGAACTGCGGAGGATTATGGCAGTAGAGCGTCAAGAGCCGCTCCCCGTCGCCCTATCTCTCCGGGCAGCTCGGGAGACCCTCCAACCCGCCCCCAAGTCTCGCAGGGAACCCGCCGTTATGTCTCCCAGGACGATGCGAGGCTCTACGCAATTCAGCCAACAGGGTTTCGTGGGTCCCCTACTGCCTGCAGACTCCAGAGTGTCCACCTTCACCCAGTGGCAGCCCCCAGCGCCTGACCCGGGCATGGTGAGTACCCGGCCCTCCTCAACTGTACCTTCATACTCAGGGTACCATGATCATATCAGGGGTGCCATGTTCATACCCAGGGTGTCATGCTTATACCAGGAGTGCCATGATCATACCAGGGGTGCCATGTTCATACCAGGGGTGCCATGTTCATACCTAGGGTGCCATGTTCATACCAGGGGTGCCATGTTCATACCAGGGGTGCCATGTTCATACCTAGGGTGCCATGTTCATACCCAGGGACGGGTAGGTTAGCAAACACAGGTAGAGTGCCAAGTATAGGTAGAATGACAGGTGTCGGTAGAGATACACAGAGACACACACACAGAGACACACAGAGACACAGAAGGACACAGAGACACAGAGAAACACAGAAACACAGAGACACAGAGACACAGAGAGCCACAGAGACACAGAGAAACAGAGACACACAGAGACACAGAAAAACACAGAGACACACAGAGTCACACAGAGACACACAGAGACACATAAAGACACAGATACACAGAGACACAGAGACACATAGAGACACAGAGACACAGAAACACACATACACAGAGACAGAGACACAGAGACAGAGACACACAGAGACACACAGAGACACACAGAGACAAACTGAAACACAGAGACACACA